TTTTCGAGGCTGAGTTAGCATTGATATTGTTAGACAGATTATAGTAGATGCTCCTGACTAGTGATACCCCGATGTCGGGCTTTTCCTTCTACACTTTTATTTTGATTTAAACTCCTTTACGAAGGTTTTTTTCTATGTTAAATAACATTGAAATTATCTTTGAAATGAAAATATCGGTTGTTTTGGAAATGAGTCGGCTTGCCTAGTTCCACGATAGGCGCCATAATGACAAGGGTTAGTTTGGGTCATGACAAATTGGTATCAGAGCCTAGGTTACCTAGGTCTCACGAGTCATGAGCGGGTTTAGTAATGTCTTGCGGATCGGTACAGAGATGTCTGTACTTATCTTTAGGAGGCAGCAAAACCTTTAGGAAACTCCACATTCTTGAATTCTTGTCGTGCGAATATGTTGATTCTAGTAACTAAACATCTGTTGTTTCATTCTCTCATAGATGGTGAGGACTCGTACTACCGGTCAGGAGGGCCAGCCACCAGTACCACCAGCCAGGGCCGCGAGAGGCCGAGGCCGTGGTAGAGGCCGTGGTAGGGGCAGAGGTGCAGCCCGTACAACAGCTGGGGCAGTACCTGCAGATCCACTGGTTGTCCCAGATCAGGGACCAGGTTCCAGTTGTTGATGCACCAGCTCAGGCACCACTTGTCCCTAGCTCAGATTCTGACAGTGTGTACTGGCCTTGCTCAGGCGGTCTCTATCTCGACGGCCGCAACCACTTCTCAGGCCAGTGGAGGCACTCAGACTCCCGTCACTCGTACACCCGAGCAGGTTATTCAGGGACTTCAGACACCGGAGGCACCACCAGCCCAGCCGGTTACAGTTGCTCAGGATTATGTGGTTCCTACTATGCCTAAGGATGATCAACGTAGGTTGGAGAGGTTTGGGAGACTCCAGCCACCACCTTTCAGTGGCACAGAGAGAGAGGATGCTCAGGACCTTTTAGACAGGTGTCAGAGGATACTCTGTACTGCTGGTATTTTGGAGACTTGTGGGGTCTCATTCACTACCTTTCAGTTCTCTGGGGTGGCACTCAGTTGGTGGGAGACTTACGAAAGGCGTAGGCCTGTTGGCGCAGCACCCCTTACTTGGCAGCAGTTCTCCGTGGTCTTTTTGGAGAAGTTCGTGCCTCGATCTCGCAGAGAGGAGCTGCGCAGACAGTTTGAGCGGCTTCACATGACGGACACAGTTTGTCCGTCATGTGATCTGGTTGGTTCCCATGGACAGGGAGAGGATCATGAGGTTTATTGATGGTCTCACTTATCAGCTACAGTTGCTCATGACCAGAGAGAGGGTTTCGGGCACTACTTTTGATGAGGTTATCGATATTGATCGGAAGATTGAGATGGTTCACGGTCAGGAGAAGGTTTAGAGGGAGGACAAGAGACCTCGTAGTCAGGGTGGATTCAGCGGTGCTCCTTTTGGGGGTCAGTTCCAACACGGTAGAGGTCGTCATTTCAGACAAGCTCAGTCAGCTCGGCCATTTCATCGGGGTGCCTCATCTGGCCATGGTTCTCACAGTTCTCATCAGGTCCACTCATCACTTGGTGCCCTTCCAGCTCAGAGTTCACCCCGTGCTCCACCTGTTCAGGGCTCTTCCATGCCAGGCTCTTCTACCAGTCATCCTGGTGCTCGGGGTTCCCTTCAGTTTCCGCTGCCAGCACTAGGGTGTTATTTTGAGTGTGGGGAGCTTGGGCATATGTGGAGGCAGTGTTATCGTCGTCATAGATATCTATCTCTATAGAGGAGTCATCCTCTGACTACAGCACCCGTTACCTCACCACCCGCCCAGTCAGCTCGGGGTGGAGGTCAGTTAGCTAGGGGTCGCCCTAGAGGGAGAGGTAGATCAGGGGGTGGCCAGGCATGTTTCTATGCCTTCCCTTCCAGACTAGATGTTATTGCTTCAGATGCTGTGATTACAGGTATTGTCTCAGTTTGTCACAGAGATGCCTCAGTATTATTTGATCCTGTTTCCACGTATTCATATGTTTCCTCGTATTTCGCCTATTTTCTGGATATGCTCCATAAGTTTCTAGTTTCTTCTGTTCATGTATCTACTCATGTGGGTGATAACCGCTCCACTCATCCCTCGGAATTCCCGGCATAGTCAACGTTACCGTCATAGCATGACAATCTAGAACAACATGACATGGAGATAACCAATCCATACCCAATATCACATCAAAGTTGACCATACTGAGCAACAAAAGGTCTACTTGGGTCTCCATACCCCCAATAGTCACCACACATGACAAATCAATACCAAAGTTGATATCCCTGTTAGGCGGCAGGCCCGATAGGTCTACAGGAAACACATCCGGAAAATCACGTACCTCCGGAACAGAATCAATGATAGGAGTCTCTGCACTAACATCCCTCACAAAAGCCAAATAAGATAGTCAACCCTTCTCCACCATGCGCTGAGCCTTCAGATATGAAATCGCCCTACTTGGTACATAATCTACAGAACTGCTCCACTCATCCCTCAGAATTCCCAGCATAGTCAACATTACCGTCTTAGCGTGACAATCTAGAACAACATGATATGGAGATAACCAATCCATACCCAATATCATAACAAAGTCGACCATACTGAGCAGCAAAAGGTCTACTTGGGTCTCCAGACCCCTAATAGTCACCACACATGCCCGATATACGCGGTCCATAATAATAGTATCACCCACATGAGTAGATACATGAACAAAAGAAACTAGAGACTTACGGGGCATATCCAGAAAATGGGTGAAATACGAGGAAACATATGAATACGTGGAACCAGGATCAAATAATACTGAGGAATCTTTGTGACAAACTGAGACAATACTTGTAATCATAGCATCTGAAGCAATAACATCTAGTCTGGAAGGGAGGGCATAGAAACGGGCTTGGCCACCCCCTGATCCGCCTCTCCCTCTAGGGCGACCCCTAGCTAGCTGACCTCTACCCCGAGCTGACTGGGTGGGTGGTGAGGTAACGGGTGCTGTAGTCGGAGGCTGACTCCTCTGTTGAGATAGACATCTATGACGATGATTATATTCGACCAATTTTTGGGAGCGAGGGTGTTCTCTGAGATTGATTTGAGGTCTGGTTATCACCAGCTAAAGATTCGGGATTCAGATATTCTTAAGACAGCTTTCAGGACCTGATATGGCTATTATGAGTTCTTGGTGATGTCTTTTGGGCTGACCAATGCCCCAACAGCGTTCATGCATTTGATGAACAGTGTATTCCAGCCCTATTTGGACTCATTCATCATTGTATTCATTGATGACATTCTGGTGTACTCTCATAGCCAGGAGGAGCATGCTCAGAATTTGAGGATTGTATTACAGAGATTGAGGGAGGAGAAGATTTATGCAAAGTTCTCCAAGTGTGAGTTTTGGCTCAGTTCAGTAGCATTCTTGGGACACGTGGTGTCCAGCGAGGGTATTCAAGTGGATCCGAAGAAGATAGAGGCGGTACAGAGTTGGCCTAGACAGTCCTCAGCCACGTAGATTAGGAGCTTTCTTGGTTTGGCGGGTTACTACCGTCGCTTTGTGGAGGGATTTTCATCTATTGCATTGCCCTTGACCAAATTGACCCAAAAGGGTGCTCCATTCAGGTGGTCGGATGAGTGTGAGGAGAGCTTTCAGAAGCTCAAGACTGCTTTGACCACAGCTCCAGTGTTAGTTCTGCCATCAGCTTCAGGTTCTTACACCGTGTATTGTGATGCCTCGAGGATAGGCATTGATGTGTTTTGATGCAGAAGGGTAGGGTGATTGCATATGCCTCGCGCCAGTTGAATACCCATGAGAAGAACTATCCTGTCCATGATCTTGAGTTAGCAGCCATTGTTCACGCCTTGAAGATTTGGCGTCATTATTTGTATGGGGTTCATTGTGAGATCTATACTGATCACCGGAGTATGCAGTATCTATTAAAATAGTAGAGAGACCTTTGGCATTAGATGTTGAGGCCTTAGCGGTCCAGCTTGTCAGATTGGATATTTCGGAGCCTGGTCGGGTATTGGCTTGTGTGGTCTCCAGGTCTTCTCTTTATGACCGTATCAGGGAGAGTCAGTATGATGACCCCCACCTGCTCGTTCTTTAGGACAAGATTAGGAGAGGTGATGCTAGGGATGTGACTATTGGTGTTGACAGCGTGCTGAGAATGCAGGGCCAGATATGTGTGCCTAATGTAGATGGGTTTCGAGAGTTGATTCTTGAGGAGGCCCACAGCTCGCGGTATTCCATCCATCCGGGTGCAGCGAAGATGTACCAGGATTTGAGGCAGCACTATTGGTGGAGGCGGATGAAGAAGGATATGCGGTCATTTTGGAATTTTGCACGAGGTATAACATGTGCCTAGGCCAGATTCATCCATCACTCTGGAGGATCGTCATCCTCCTCCAGTTTTTTGTGAACAAAATCAATGAGTGCTCGTTCACCATCGATCATTTACTCCGCTTATACAGTCCCCGAATCTTTCGGGGGGACTTCTAAAGCTTGCGTGTCGGGCCAGTAAAGCCATGTTCTCAAGTATTTATGAGGACCGGGATCGGAGCTAGCAAGGTTGTTTTGTCCGAGTGAGGACTTCAGACTTGATCCTAGCTGAGTGCAGGCCATTTCCCGAGAAGTGGAATACGTCACGTAAGTATAACTTACTTTCGAATGTCAATTTATTATTTACTTCTCTTTTCCTAATCGGTGCTTTGTGATGGTGCAGCCGTCGCTCGGGTCCCAAACGCTGTCCCTCGACTCAAGGAATGGGTCGAGGGTATCGTTTCTCAGATGCCTTACTCCGAGCGCTGCCCAAACTCTCGAAGGGCCATTGGTAGGCCCGTTCCCATGGTGAGACTTCTTTCCCAAGTAGGTTGTATTAGGGCTCTTTTTTAATATTAAGCCCTTACTTCCTTAACTTCTTTTTGCAGGTTTATCTAAGGATGTCGAACTTTGGCCTCCAGTCAGTGGCGAGAACTTACATGTCGAGTCCCCAGCTCTGATACAGGAAAATGAAGAGGACTTTTAGTTCCCTGAGCTCAGAGAAAAAGCAAACAAGGAGAAGGCCGGTGCGCAAGTCGAAAGAAAACACCAGCGCCCGAGCACCAACTTTGGATTCGCTCTATCAGCTGAGGGACGAGTCCGAGGAAGAAGAACCTTTTTATTCTGGTGGCCCGCGAGACATTGCAGCTCGAAGAGTAGGGGGCCTCTGAACAAGATATCTGTGAGGCTGATCTGCCTCATGCCAGGGAAGTCGATGAGGATACTGGGGCCGAGGCTTCCCAAGATGCGGACAATGCCCCGAAGGAGGCACTCGATGTGATAGACATCACTGAGTCACCCTCGTTTACTGAGTCCATGTATAAAGAGGCCCAAACGTGAAAGAACGCCCCAACGAGGGGGGCCATGGAGCGGACGACCCCCTTCGCTGCATTTTTTATGGCGTGGATTCCACCGCCACGGAGGACGTCACTGGATTGGGTGACTTAGAGGTACCGAGGAAGAGTCCATCCTCGGGGGTAGGTGGGCCTAACTCGAGCCCGAAACTGATCACCCGATTCCCTGCCCCGAGTGTGGATCATGATCGGAAGCGGTCCATTGTCATCATCGTTCTAGAGGATGCCCGGTTTCTTTCCGCCCCGGTAGGGGTAGCCAGTTATCTCTGGTACCTGGTGACCGAAGAAGACCAGGCCTAAATGAATGAGGTAGGCGTGCCCTTCCTGTTCAATGAAGCACAATAGGTGCTGAACCATGTAACTCTAGATAACTCTTGATTATTTCAATTTCTCCTATTATACTTGCACTAATTTATTGATAATCCTAATATTTTTTTTCATGTTTGTAGGACTTGTGCTTCACCATGAAAATTTCCTCTGGTATCGAGATGAGATGAACCAACTCGAAGCCGAAGTCATAGAGCTTACTGAGAAGAGAGACATATACAAACTTCTCAGCGAGCATCGTGAAGGAGAGGCTAATAGTCTTCGAGTTGAGTTGGAAGCAACTCGGAAAGAACATGCTAACCTGGTTGAACAGGTAAAAATCTTTGAAGTAAGTGATGATGAGCTAGACACGGTGACTAATGGTCAGAACCTGTAGGTCCAACAGAAGATTGATCGGATCTACCAACTCCGAGCCGAGATGGATGCAGTCAAGGTCAAGGTTGAAGATTGGAGAGGTAGGATGGACCACCGGGCCTCGAAAAAGGAGACTGCTCGGGCACAGTTGACCTTGGCGGAGGCCCAACTTCGAGCAACAAGGGAGAAGTCTGAGGCACGGTCCAAAAATATTGAGGACCTCCAGTCTCAGCTAAGCTCGGTTGTTGACGATCGAGAGACTCTTGCCAAGGAGCTTAAAGCGGCCAAGTCGGTGGTTGAAGTAACCAAAGACGATGCCGATGAGATGGTGGCCCAGTATAAAGATGATGCCGATGCCGATGCGATGGTGGCCCAATATAAAGTTGATGCCGAGGTAGCCCAAGGCCACCTGAAAGATATTGTCGAATACATGAAGTGGCAGTCCCGAAGGGAGGCCCTCGAGGAAGTTCATGATCAAGGTTTTGATTTGTCGGCCGAGATCGAAAGTGCTAAGGGGCTCGAGGCCGAGGCGAAGAAGTTGGCGTATTCCGAGGACAAAGAAGACTCTGAGGGTTCGAGCGAATCCGGGAGCGGAGAAGACTCTGATGGTCCCAGTGATCAGGCGGGCTCCAGTGGAGACCAAGCCGTTTAAATGCCTTGTAGTTGTTTCCTTGAATNATATATATATATAAGGCTCTTTTTCCATTCGATAGTTTTTAAGCTTGTTTCTTTTCTCTCTTTTCTTTATGATTATAAAGAATGCCTTAGCACGTAATAATTAGGTCTTTTTCAGAGGTTCGAACAGGCCTTGCTCTGGATATTATTTTTTTTAAGACTCGTTAGGGGATCGGTATGACTGGAAGCTTTCCCCAAAGGACTTGGAATATTTTAGATTACAATTTTCTGAGGGTAGCCTTTTGAGCCAATTTAGAAATTTTGAAGGCCTTGTTTTTTTTTAAGTTACGAGTCTCGGACGTCTCCCAGCCATTTTAAGACAGTCGTACCCTTTCTAGTTTGGGTGTTTCCCAGTGGACTTGTTACCCCGAGTCATCCGAGCTTAACCGAGATAACCGTGCCCGAATGGGGGTGGTTGTAGCCTTTAAAGTTCGGGCAATGCCTAATAAGCTTTGTTCCCCCGAGCTTCATTATCCCGGGCTGTCCGAAGCTGCCTTGGGAGGCAGTCCCCGAGTGAGGTGGCACTTGGGCTCGATGTCTTTAGGGGATCAAATGTAAGAAAGAAAAATTTTCAAAGGGAAAAATATTTATCCGCAAGGTAGAAACTTCCTTTCATTTTTGTGTAATATACAAAGTTACACATATTTTCAAGCTTTGTGTCCAGGCTCGGGCAGTCTATGTGGGCACGGTTCATTCGACCATTTGGCCCTTACAGTAAATCCTATCGATCGAGCCTAGATTATTCAAGCAAAAAGTTTCCTTCCTTGCCAAAATAATTATCGGAGAGTGATCCCCCAGTGTTCGAGATCGATCATAGAGAAGCCTCGGATACTGTTGACAATCGGTCTTCGATTCTGAGTTAGTACAATCTACTATTTCCTCGTTAAAAACCTTGCCAACAAACCCATTTGGGACAAAACCGATTCAATGGAAAAAGAGTGCAACGCGTGCTTTCAGGCCTACAAAATTATATCGTTCTTTCACGGTTACCTGCAAGCGTTAGTCCAAAATGTAAATAAATAAAAGAAGTAAATAGGGTCGTACCTTAGCAGTAATATCGTTTCAAGTGAGTTATGTTTCAATTTTTTGGTAGTCACTCATCGTTCATTGCTCCGAGTTTGTACGACCCCTTTCCAGTGATCTTGATAATTTGATACGGACCTTCCCAGTTCAGCCCCAACTTTCCTTCATTCGGGTTTCGGGTGTTTAATGTGACCTTCTTCAACACTAAGTCCCGACATTGAAGTGTCAAAGGTTGGCTCTTCAATTGTAGTACCTCTCGATCCGTTATTTTTGGGCAGCCATTCGGACGAGGGCGGCTTCACGCCTTTCATCTAACAGTTCCAGGCACGTATTCATGGTCTCGTTGTTTGATTCTTTGGTTTCATATCGGAACCTGAGACTCGGTTCTCCAACTTCGACTGGTATTAGAGCTTTGGTGCCGTAAACCAACGAGAATGGGGTGGACCTGGTACTGGACTTCGAGGTCGTATGGTAAGCCCATAGAACTTCGGGCAAGATTTCTTTCCATTTTCCTTTGGTGTCGGTTAATCTCTTTCTGAGGTTTTGGAGTATGGTTTTGTTCGTGGACTCTGCTTGCCCGTTCCCACTAGGGTGATAGGGTGTTGACAGGATTCTTTTGATCTTGTGATCTTTGAGAATTTTTCTTACTTTGATGTCAATGAACTGCTTCCCATTGTCACACACGATCTCGGCCGGTATTTCAAACCGACATATTATGTGGTCCCAGATAAAATCAATGACTTCCTTCTCCCTGACTTTCTTAAACACCTGGGCTTCCATTCATTTAGAAAAATAGTCAGTCATAAACAATATAAATTGAGCCTTACCGGGTGCCCATGGAAGGGGGACGACGATGTCCATCCCCATTTCATGAACGGCCAGGGTGACAAGACTAAATGTAGCAGCTCCCTGGGCTGATGAATCATCGGAGCATAACTTTGACATCCGTCGCATTTTCGTATGAACTCATTCGCATCCTTTTCCATGTCGATCCAATAGTAGCTGGCTCTAATTATTTTCTGAACTAATGATTCGGCGCCCGAATGATTTTCGCAGGTGCCTTTGCGGTGTCTCCGGGTACTAGACATATTGCGAGTGGGCCATCAAATGTTCTCCGGAATAATGTACCGTCTTCGGATAGGCTGAACCGGGCCGGCTTCGTACACAGAGTCCTCGATTCCTTAGGGTCCGAAGGAAGTTTTTCGTTCTTCAAATATTCTATATATTTGTTTCTCTAGTCCCAAGTTAGGCTTGTTGAGTTTATCTCGGTGTGACCTTCTTCCACTACTGATCTCATGAGTTGTACGACCGCCCCCGAGTTGAAATCATCATCATCGACCGACGATCCCAAGTTAGCAAGGGCATCGGCCTCGCTGTTTTGATCTCGAGGCACATGTTGTAGAGTCTGTGAATACCTAATTTTTGCACTATTTTAACACCTCCTAAAGTCATTAGTATTATGTTACTTTAATTATTTTTCCCAATTTTTGTGTCTTTGATTGCATATTTTTCTATCATAAAAATACCAAAAAATAGTTCTTTCTTTATTTGTGCATTTTAGAAATTAACTAACTATTTCAATTGGTGAATTAATCTAGTTAATTGATCATTTGAATAAGTTACTTAATTAATTTATTTGTTTGTGTAAATTTAGTTTAATNATTTTAGGAATTAACTAACTATTCAATTGGTGAATTAATCTAGTTAATTGATCATTTGAATAAGTTACTTAATTAATTTATTTGTTTGTGTAAATTTAGTTTAATAAGTAGGATTAAGGAAGAAATTGGGCCAAATTTGAAAGAGAAAGTGGCCAAAAGTGCAAGATAAGGGGCTGCCCTTGAAAGGGTCTGAAACGACGTAGTTTTGCCTCAAAACTACGTCGTTTCATTAAGTGACCCAAGATCAAATCTCACCCATTAATCACCTCTTGATCTTATGGTCCATATTTGATCTCTCAAGAGGTATTTAAAGCCTAAAAAATCTGAAAAATTCCCTCATTTTCCCCATAACTCTTTCTCTCTTTTCTCTCTCTCTTTTCTCTCTCTCTCTCTCTCTTCTCTCTCTTCTCTCCGCCGTCGAAAATCGCCCACCGGCGGCGGCCAACCTCCAAACACCCCCAAATTCACACCATGTAATCTCCACAACCTCCTCTTTCCATATCTCCAAACTAAATCCTTCAAAACCCCCCTCAAACTCCTTGAATTTTAGATCTAGGAAACTTTAGCCTCCACCTTTTTGCCCAAACTTTTGAAGTTCCGGCCACTACCACCCCCACAATACCGACATCAACGGATAAATCTCATCAAGACCTACCTATTGATGTCAATTCCATCCCGAAAATACGGCAACTAAAAATCCAGCCAAATTCTGGCGACCACCCCGAACACCTTCGTTTGGTATACCCCTATTCTCGTTTACTTTGTCTATTTTTTCTAATTGTATTGTATTTAGTTTATGTCTAGCATAATTTATGATTTTTTATTTATTTATTTATTTATATTATTATTTTTATTATTAGTTGTGTTTAATCTATATTAGCTTAGTCGTTCATAGTTATTAATCATTGATAATTAGTTATTCATTAGTTTTGAAATAGCTATTCGCTTAGTCATGATAGTTTATGATAAAAGTTTCAAGTGCTTAGTGAATATATTTTTATTGGATTTGAGTATTTGAATTTTGTGTTGATAAAAGCTGAAATTAAAGAAGGAATAGTACAAATTTGGTTGTGTTTACTGTGCAAAGACTTTGGAGTGAAAAACTCAAAAGTCATTGTGTGGTGACAAATACAATATTTTTTGACAGCTTTTGAACAGTGTTTAGCACACAAAGTCAGTCTTTTGGACAGACTTTTGGTGAACCAAAATCTGTCCAAAAAATCTGATATATTTGCCTATTTAAAGGGCTATCCTTACTCACTGAAGAGGACACATACTCTATCTTACACTGAGACACATCTTGGAGAGTTGCTTAAAGACATATATCTTTGAGAAAAATCAGCAGCTTAATACATATAACAAGCTGAAATTTCAGAGTTTTGTGAGGATTATTTGAGTGCAAAAACTTTGAGAAAAATAGAAAGATCCCTTAGGCAATTTGTGAAGTTGATAGCTACCAGTTTCAAGCATCTTTGTTGAGTTTTCTGGGTTGTCTTAACACTTGAGTTGCTGCTGTTTCTACTGTATTTGCTGCTGAGTTTTTTGTTGCTGCACTGCTGTATTTTATTATTCTACAAACCAGGTAACTTTCAAATTCTTATATTGCAGATTCTTGATGATAATAAGAAGGATTTGATCCCGGTTTGGTTGATGGAACATATTAGATCTGATTTTGTTTCAAGATGAATGTTATATTAGTGTTATCATCATGTAAATCTGTTAAAAATTAGTTAAATTATCGTTTTCTTCTTTATATATGTGATTGAAATTGCATTCTGTTAAGATTACTTAGTTTAAGGAAAAGATAAAGACCCCACTTTTAACCATGTTTGTTTAGTTTGGGCTCTTTTCCGTGAGTTACTTTCATGGTTCATGTATAATTATCTAAGAAAGACTTCTAGCTTCAAATGTTTTGATGCTTTGAATTATAGTCAACATAATGTTATACTTAATATAGTTCTTCTCTTTAGCATTGAAGCATTACCCTTTTTTGTAGTTTTTATATTTAATCGTGGTTTTTATGTTGTTAATGAGTGTAGTTTGATTAGTTCCATGTTAGTGTAGATGAGTAGAAATATTATGTTAGTCCTTAAGAAATAGTTGGTTAAGAAGATAAAAGATAATAATTAGCATGTAAGTTTCTTTTATGAAAAATAATTTTTAGTTTGGACATCAATGTAAGAAGCAATTTGGGCTTAGAAGAATACTTGTTATTTTGTGTTGTCTTGGTCATCGAGACTCTTAAGCAACATAGGCCAAATAAGCTAAAATTTGTAGGCCCAATGACAATAGA